TTTAATGTTAGCGTTACTTTTTATCATCAGTTTTCCGCAGTAAGCGACATTGTAAAATTTTCTCGTCATCAGGTGAAATCTGTGCTCTTCTTCTACCATATAGCCATCGCGAATTAGAGAGATTTCATTCGAATAAAATAAGTTATCCCTGCATGAAGGCCATAAATCGAGTGTTGTATGATTATGATTTTATTCCTAACTGGTTTTCAATGAACTTCTACTCTTCTTTGGGCTTTTTCTTGCTGTGCAAAGGAAATGTGCTGTCGAGCAGCGATGGGGTTCTGTTCTGGTCACGATGGGTGGTGATGGTTCCTAGTCCTTGATATATAGACAGTTACCTTCACATAAGTACTACCGATTCCTCGTTTTAGTGTTTTCGTGGTTCAGTGTAAAGTTGACAAGGATGATATTGCCTTTTTATTCTCGAATGAGCTTCGTAAATTTGCATCGACGTCGTGATGGCAGTAACGATATTCGTATGAAGCAGCGCGATATTACGAGAAACAGTTATTTAATATATCAATGCAGGATAATCTGCTGTTCTGTTAATCGTCGTATACAAATTCGTCGTTGAACAAATTCCACTTGTTCTTAAGTCTGTTATGAAAAATTTTCGATTATGCTGTGATTGAGAATAAGGCGATGTTTGTCTGTTGTGCGTATTAACGACACATTACCAGAAAAATGCATAAAGACGATCCGTCAATCAAAGTTTATTTACTTTATGTAACGCGCGTTTATGCTGTTGTCTGAACCCAGGGAGATTTCAGACAGTAGGGTACGTAGGATGCATTTTATGTATTCAACATTCCATGCTCGAATCCATCGTATTGTCAGCTTTCAAAGCTGCTACTGTCAGTTGTCTGCTTTGTTCAGTGTTGGACTCAGAACCGATAAATGCCGTCCTCATGCCTTTCTTCCTTTTCTAGGTTGATAAATGACTTTCACTCTGTGGGAAACAAACATCACACTACACATTATGATTGTCACACATTGTTGCTGTCTCTAGTCTGCCTTTATAATAAAACATGTTTTTATGTTTGCTGATGGCGTGGGAATGAAATTTATCATTCCACCAATATCTTCATGAAAGAACGGCGCCAGAAATCACTCGATCATAAAAGTGTAACGATGATAGACATTTCAGTTTTTAGAAAGTATATTTTTTCCTTCCCTTCTTTCCGTGACGTTCGTTTAGCCTTCTTACAGTTTCTCCAATGCTATCGCACTTATTCGTAGAAGCCAAAGGTTTGTGTTGAACGTAGATCCAGTAACTTAAATAG